CCTTGAGGGAGTCACATTTCTCATGGAAAAATTAAGGGGGACTTCTTCCATGACTTTTCTTACCATGGCCAGTGGCCAGAATTAGATTATAGGGAGGTTTTATTCTACTTTAACAGACTTTAGATTTTGGTAAGAACTAACTTTGAGTTGTTCAGATCATTCATGGGGATACTGAAGCACTAAAGTCAACACTAACTGCATCCACATGAGGCATTATCCTTTCACTTTGATATTTGGAATATAGTTATAATGGTTATTAACAGAGTGCCCTAAACCTTCGTAGGTTTTGCTTTAAATTGTATGCTGCACCCAAGAGAACATATTCTGTTGTATTTACTTTCCTGTTTATCCACATAAAATTTGTGAGTCTTGGCTCAGTGTGTCTCAGAAGAGAACTGCTACAAAATGTACAGAGTTCAAGAGATTCTGGCAGAGGACTTTGGAAGAAAGTACTGCACCACCTGCTTGCAGTTGATGCAGCATTGCCTGTGTAAATTTCTCTGAAAACTTTTTTTTTTTAAATGGTAGTATTTCATAGTCTTTGTTAAAAATCAGCCAAGATACATGTGCCAGCGGTTGATAAGAAGTTGTCACATCACTGGAGGTCCTTCCATCAATTTCATTCGGATTTGGATCAGGCTCTGTAGTTAGACATTTAGTGATGGTATACTTTAAGAGTAAATTGCTAAACCTGTTGCAGAACATCCTGGAATATTGTGGGAAATTGTTTGAATGTCAGAGATACTTGAGTCTCCTGCTGTGTTGCAAGCTCCTCTGGGGACACCAAGTGAATTCTGTCATTTAAATTACTTCCCTATTTGAATTCCTAATTTTTTCCCTAATTATTTTTTATTGGTATAAAGCTTTTGCCACAGCTTGTGGTTGGGAGAAAAGAAAGTCTTTTTCTGGGATACAGGCATGTATTTGCCATCCAGTAGCTGAAGGCCTGTAGGAGATAAGAAGGAAGATTCCTTCTTGGCTTCTTACCACTTTTTCTTCTCTTTGTGCTAAGCCACTGTATCACCATCAGTCCCAATTCAGTACATTGATTCATCTAATTAGTAACATCTCTAATTGTATTATCAAGGAACATTTTATTCCTTGCTTCCTTCCTAGCCAGGAGAATGAGTGCTGAGGGAATAGCATGGATTGCCTCATACCTCAAACATGAACATGACAAGATGAAGCATAGCTTGAGCCTCGTGCTGCAGCAGCTCCTGGCCAGTTCTCTGAAGCAGCTGTGCTTGGGATGGGTGTTTTCCTTTTCCTGATCTTTTTGCAGTGACTAGCCTGAGAAATAGCTGCTTAATGCACATAAATATGTTCTAAATTATTTCAATTAATGTCATGTTTTAGGAAACCTAGCCCAGTTCCATTGTTGATGTCCATAGCTGCCACTGTCTTGGATATACAACTTTGCCCATAGCTTCATAAGCATTTAATTCCTTTTCCTAAGAAAAAGTGATCTTTTTTTATACTAATAGCATGACATACTTCCCTGCTGTATGCCTATCCAGGCTAGTTGGTAGTTCTTAGGACATAATGTTAGTTTCTTGGTAAATCATCTCTTTTTTTTTCTTTTTCTTTTTTTTTTTTGTCATTGCTTTCATATTCATTCTTGATGACTGTCATTAAGATTGTCTTAATTGAAAGAACATTTGCTGTAACTTTAGCAGCTGTTCTTCTGCAGTATAAAATCATGGTAATTGTTTGTGTTCATTCAATGCAAGGTCACTGTAATGGAAAGCAAATGGTCTCCGTTAATAGGTAGTGTTCTCCCTGCTATCTTGTTGCCCGTGAGCTGGAATGTGAGATATGCTATTTAGCGTGTGAAATAAAAAGCAAAAAACACTTCTGAACTCTTACTTTACTTCTTTCTGTTACTTATTTTTCTGAAACTGCATATCTTCTCTTCGAGTTTTTGTTTAGTTGACTGGTTGGTTTGTGCCTTAGTTGCCAAGTGAATGAAATAAGCTTATTTGTATACCACTGAGGACGACCCCAGGTGATTTACAGATACATGAAATAAAAAACATTTTCCCATCACTACAATATGTACCCATTAAGGAAGGCTTTCAGATGTGCACATCTCCTCCACTTTCAGAGCTTCTTTTTGTGGCTTACCAGTTAAAAGCCGTCATTTCCATTAGATGTTAGAACTTAAATTGGCATCTTCTGGATGCTGTATTCTGTCTGTCCTGTTGCCGTGACATTTCTGCTGATTAATTCCAAAGATGAGTGTACCTATGGAGAGACCTTGTTTCATCAGCATTACCTGTGGTCGCAGCTGAGGTGTTGTCATTGGTATTCAGCTGGCAGTTTTTGGTGTGCGCACACGAGGCAGGTAACGCTCTGGGACAATCAAAGGACGATGCTAAAGCTGCTTTGCTCCTAATAGTATGGAAGTGTGAGGTGTGTGCTGGTGGGTGCTGCTGAGTGTCATGACAAGGAAATGTGAGGGTGTAGTTTCTAAAATACAGAGTTATTCCACTTGTTCACTTATGTTCTGGTTCTCTTAACACATTTTAGTAAGTGATGAGTAATGATGTAGTTCAACTAGCATATTTTAAACCTACAGGTCTATTTTGAAGTCTCCTGTTTGTTTTATGGAAACTTTGGCACCTACTAGATTAACTAAAATTTGAAGTCATAATCTTTTAAATGGCTGCTAATCTTTGATGGATATTTTTTACTTAATCTCATTGACTCTTGAGTTTCTAGAAATTATACATCTATGGACTGCCTTTAATCAGAGGCATGTGATTCCCCTTTCCTGGCTGTTGCTCTTTATGGCAGATGATTCAGCCCTCCTGGAGAGGTGTTGCCTCTGACATTCTGTACACAGCTCCACTTTTCATGGTGCTGCTGTGGCTTTCAGCAGCTTTATGGCTATTTCTGCTGTTTGAGTTTCTGATACAGAATTAGAGCTGGCTGACACCTTCTCTTCTTTGGGGAAGGTTCTGAAATGTTCTCTAGAAATATAGCAAGTAGTTACCTATAGATATCTTCAACTGAGTGTAATAAGGGACAGATGTTCATTTGTCTTAAGAGATTCTTCTGTTTTGTTTATGTGTTGGTTTCTTAAGCAAGTACAAAAATTTCAAATAGCCAAGTATGTTTGGATTTTCTGGCTACCCCTGATAGCAGTTAGAGACAGTTAGAGCAATAGGCAGTGGTGTTTGAGGTAAGCGGGAGTTCAAAGAGTGGCTCATGAAATTTTAAATACTGGCAAGGACTTGCAGTAAAAATCTATGGATCTTTTAACTAGGAAATCAGTTCTTAGTGTGTTAGGTGGAAGAGCCCATTAGGAAGAACATCCTAATACTGGTTTGGTTTTTTTTCTTCCTCTCTGACAACGCCTGGACATACCTTGCATTGATTTCTTTGGTTTATTCTGCAGTTTATGATAAGAGAATTTAAGAGTTGGGAAAGTTACCATGGTTTTTTTGGGAGGAGGTGGTTGGTTTTTGGGGGGCTGGTGGTTTTTTGTTTGTTTTTTCTTAAAAGCTCAGAGTATTGTGGTATATTTTAAAAAGCAGGGGCCAGCTCTCCCTCCCTTTTCTTGTCTAGAGAAATCCTTTGTAGAGAAAGAAATATTTCTTTGTGCCTTGGAAACAAACCATATCAAATAGAGAATCTGATAGACAACCCTTTCTGCTTTTTAATGCCTTTATCTCTTTCCCATGATTCTTCACATTTTAAGAAACAGTGATTTTTTTTTATTATTTTTTGAAGTTGGAAGTTTCCTGCTTCCTAACAGTTTCTCAATTGAAAGCTTGAGCAATGCTTAACAGAAGATGAAGCAAGGATGTTTCAGTTCTCCCCTTTCCAAGACAGAAGAGTGTAAATTAAACTGAAATAAACTATATATACCTATATGAAAAAAAAGTTGTCTAAGGATTTTGTACCATACTGCAGTGAAAATATACTATAAATAATTTCTCTGTGACTTTGTAATACTTTTATATCTGAAAATTTTTTCTTTATGTTTTCTTATAATTTTGGTGGAAACTTCAGAAATTATTCCAGAGTTTTCTGGGTTTTTTTCAAACCGAATAATTTCTTTATTCTTTTTGCTTGAGCAGTAACCTTGAGTTGTTGAGTTTGCAGGTCAGGGAATCTTTCCCATCCCAAAACAGCACTAAGGAAAGACTTATTTAAATTTCTAAATTGGTACTAAATTTTCCTGAAGTTTTCAGTTTTCCTTTTTTCTTTTTTTCCCCAGAAATAGTTATAATAGATTTATTAAATGATAATATAGGCTTCTCTGTTAAGCACTGTAAAGTATTTGGCAGTGTTAGAAATTGTAGAACAAAACAGTCGAGGCTACTGAGGAAATGTCTATATTCTTCTGTTGATTTGTCCAAGAAAAACAATTTGTTGTACTGCAGTGAATAATCTGCGTTATCAAATCTATCCCGTTCCTGTCAGGTGCTGGGTGCCCTTCATTTCCTTTTGCAGCCAGAAGGGATTCAACATGTTGCAACTCAGGCTGTGCTGAATACTAATGTCTTGATATCTGGTAGATCATTAGTATTTATTTGTAAAATGGAAGCAGAATTAGATTTGACCTTTAGAGCTGAGTCAAAAGGTTAATCCACGTCCATTTCCAATTTGGTGCATTAATTGCTCCCTGTCCTAATTGTTTGGAGGACAATATTTTCTGTTTGTTTCAGAGGTAAATCAAACTGTAGGTGATGCTCTGCATTCATAATTTTGTTGTTTGTTTTACTTACAAGTGAATTCCAAATCACTGAGTGTATCTTCCTGGGTTCTGTTTAAATAAATAAATAAATCAGTATTTCTGATATTTTTTTTCCAAATCAATGCATGCATTCTGCCTAAAGCTAGTGGGATGTGATATGCTTTGTGATACACAGAGGATAAAAATAAGTTCATGCGTTTTTTTGGTTATTCAAATGTTAGTATTCTTGGCAGCTCTGAATAGGGGGGAAAAAATACCAGCATGAAATTAATAACTGTTTTTGTTTGTGTTATAGCTACGCTGTACACATCCTGCATTTTGTTGGGTATATTCCTCAACAGCAGCGTACCAATATTCTTTGAGCTCTTTGTGGAGACAGTCTACCCTGTTCCAGAAGGAATTAGCTGTGGAGTTGTCACCTTTTTGAGTAATGTGTTTATGGGAGTGCTTTTGTTTTTCCTCACATTTTACCATACAGGTAAGAAATATAAGCCACTTTGAAAATGTAATTCTCCAGTAAGACATACCTTTGTCAGTAAAACGGAGGATTTGCTCATACAATTTTTCTAATAACCAAATGTTTGAATCCCCCAATAGGGCAGCAAGAAAGGAGAATTTTAATTGTTCTTTCCTATGTGCGTACTAATAAAAATGAAATTACTTAGATGCAAGATACATTCTACTTAAATTTGCTGTAGCCAGGTACGTCAAGGTACACATTGTCATCATATTTTTTAAAGGCCTGTAATGTGACCATTAATAATGGTTATATCTGTGGGTGTTCAAAACCACAGTAAAGCTAATCCAATCTCGTACTTCTGGATAAAATTGTATTGCCCAGGAGGGGCAGAGCAGAAATGCCCCATTTATGGTCAGCTCTGTTCAGTGGGTTGGATGTACCATTGCAGAGGAGAGAGCAGCTCTTCAACACTGCTCAAAGTTGAAATAGCCATTCCTTTAGACAATCCTGTGGCCTAATCCAGCACATCAGTGTTTTGCTTGATGTTCTCATCAACTTCTTCACACTTTCTCATCTCTCAAGTATTGGCTTCCTTGTAACTCGTAATTAAAACTTACAACTTGCTATTTAGTAGGCTATAATACATATTATTACTCTAAGCTGTAAAATAAGAACCCAACTTGCTTTCAAAGGGAAGTGGTCTTTATTAATGTCTTTCAAAGATGCAAATTTTTTGGTTTGTCTTTTGTCGTGGTAAACGTTTGCATCATGATGCAAGACTTGTAAACCATTAGCAAATATGAGCTTTTATGTATTATCATGAGAACATTTACTTCTTAAAATGTTGTGTTTTATCACCAAGAGGAGACTGACAAATTTCAGAATGAATTCTGCTAGAAATTATCAAGGTTACAACCTGGGGCCGTTTTTCAGCATAGTTTGTATCTTTCTGCCATGGAATTACAAAGTAGGATGACAACACTGTTCCAAATTGTGGTCTGTGAACACGGAGAGAATTTTTTTTTTTTAATACTGTTGTTCAACTGCATCATTGTAAAATCTGAATGCCAACCAGGTTAGCCTTGGGTGATATGAGAGTTAGTCTTTACATTTTAAAATATGCTTTTAATATTAATTTTTTTAATATTAATTGGTGTGAATTATAGTTTCTGACATCCATACCTGAACTGGAAAGATGACACAGAATATTCTGATAATTTTTTCAGCACTTTTCAGAGTAGCAATCCAGCGTTTGGCATTACTTAATAACTGAGGATGGGAATGCAGTGTCTCACTTCTGATGGAAGAATTATGATTAGGTGAACTCGTTCCCTCATAAATAGGGTATTTGGGGCCATTTTTGGTCTCTAGTATTTCTTTCCCTAGCAGGTATCAGTAAATGCAGATAAGGATAAACCTGAAATTGGTATATCCGTATACTTGGAATATTTTCCCTATTTCTTCAAAGGAGAAAACAAAAAAAGTAAAAAAAATGTAATTTGTGCTTAGGACATTCCGTTCTTTGATTGAAAGTACAAGATAGTATGTGGTCACTGAGGGGGTCAGTGCCAGTGGGTGCTGTTGGCTCCTCTGATTAAAAAAAATCCTTTAAGGGGTTGATAATGATCTTAATCATTTGCTTTCATTTGATTCAAATACATCCTCTAATGGCATTTAAGAAGCTTACAGATACATCAAAACTCAGTCAAATTCATCTTGTTCCTTTGGTCTTTCCTTTTAGGCCAAATAATCTTTCAGTAGTTTTAATTCTGATTTCTCTTCTCCTCTGATATTGCAAATGCTGTGAAAGACCCAAAGCCTGGAAGCTTTCCAGTGCCCTCAAGATTTTGGTTCATCTACCACAGTGGAGATGTAAACCTTCCTAAAGCTCAGCCTCCCTGCTAGTGCTGTGTCCTGCACCCGAAAGCTGTAACCTCTGATGTGTTTTCCTTTGCCTTTTCTGCAGGGACTTCTGAGGGAAAAACAAAAGCAAACTGACCTTTGGCTTCATGCGATCGATGCGTTCGCTGCATTGCCAGAGCTGTCACAAATTCTGGATTAAAAAAGATAGGAAGGATTCGCAAGTTAAATTTGGTGTGTTAGGAATTTTGAGTTAAAGTCTGTTTAATCCAATTAAACAAGAATATTCTACGGAAAATAATAGCAAAGCATCTGACTATTGACTTCTGGCAACACATAACACAGTTTTCTCCAAGCCTAGAAAGATTTTATTTTGGTTTTAATAACATTACTACCTAAACAAATCCCTATGGGTTTATGGTGGATCAGGGAGGGAGTTGTTGAAGGTTATTGGTTTTGGAAAGTTGATTTTTTAGGCTTTCTGACTTTTGTTGTTTGCATTGTGTAATATAAATCATGATTTTTCTTTTAGCAATATAAATTACAGATTTAAGAATGTAGCAGTGCTGAAGCCTTGATCTTGATTAAGAGACCTTGAGGGAGAGTTTAGGTTCTGTAAAATTAAATCAGTAATAATAATAAATGAAAATTTTAAAAAATAAATAGAACAATATCTCCAGTGAAATTAATATTTCTTCAGTAAATTGACAGATTCTTTTTAAAAAAGGAAATTGTGGTGCACTTAGTTTGAAAAAAAATGAATAAAACTGTTAATTAGTAGGCAAATATCAGATGATAGGATTTCTTGAATATGGAACACAACCTTTTAAGAGCAGTACATTACATCTAACAGCTAAAAAGAGGCTTCTGGGGAGTTGTTTTTGCAACTAGTTTTAAATTGAATTGATTGTACTAAGCACAGGTTTCTTCTGAGGAATTGCTTTTCCCTCCTTATATGATGTAGCAGGTTTGATTCAAAATCAAATCCAACTTTTTCCTACACTTTTAATTTGTTTTAGTTCTCAATCCATAGAAATCAAAGAACTAATGAGTAGAATCTTTGGAAGTGCTTTATTCTCCATTAGCAATGATAGATTTTATTTTTTTTTCCCTGTTCTCTTCATTGACAGGTTGCATAAGTAGGATTAACATTAGGAGGCATTGGCTATATATATATATATATATATAACTTTAGGCATCCATGGAGAAGTCTCGTAGACCTTGTCAACCATTGATCAATCAAGGGCTGTCAGGATTTTGTTCAGAACACAGCAATTTCCTTTAAAACAGCCATCAATCCAAGTTTTGGTCACTTTAAACACAGAACATGTTTGATAATTGAGGTTGGGTCTCTGTTCTGCTTTACAGAGTTTTCCTGGTTCAACTGGTGCCTGCCAGGATCGTGTCTGCTCAGCCTGCTCCTCATCCTGTGCTTCCGCGAATCCTACGACAGACTCTATCTCGACGTTGTCGTCTCTGTGTGATAACGCCAGACTGGTGAGGGGTTGGAAGAGACTGGAAGTCAGCTTTGCAGTCTGCACATCTGCCTGGATTTGCACAGCTGGACAGCAGAAACACAAAGAAATTACAAGACTTAATCGTGGCTTTATTTAGAGAGGGTGAGGGACGGGTTGTTCTTATGTTCAAGACCACCTTGATTTGCTGTAAATGTGGAACTTGAGTGGTGATAATGATGCCAAAATGCACAAAGAGAATATATCTGCTGTTCAGGTCCCAGTGCCAGAGCTGGGGCTCTCTATTTAAGGGGCTGTTGATGTGTTGCAGTGAGGTGTATGTTTTGTGTGTGTGTGTGCCTGTGTGCTGACTTACGGTTATATGCACCAGGGTACCAGTAATCTTTGGAGTCTTCTATCAGAATAGAAATAAGAAATAATCTTAACAAAAGGAAAAAGAGAAAGGAAAAAAAATCTTTTCTTTAAGATCTCTTCTAAGTCACTAGTCATTTATATATTGAATGTCCATTAAACAGTACACTACATTTACATTCTAATAAAGTGATTTCTGATATAAGACACTGGTACCAGGGTTTTTAGCCATACTAAATATCCCAAATAATCCTTGCAGTGTTGTTAGAGGTGTTTGTAATCACCCTGGAGCACAAGTAAACAATAGCTTTAGCTGCCACTGAATCCCAACTTGCACCCACAGTCATCTCTGAAATACCACTGTGGTTCCATATCTCCTGAATATGGAACATTTGTGGTGTACTGGAGAGTCACTCTTGCTAAATGTTGTTTTAAAAGCCACACTGTGTCACCTTTCCATCCCCTGTCTCCAGTACTGCCTTTTTTACTGTGAAGACCTGTTTGTGACACTGAATACTGTGGATGTGGATGTCTGAGTCCCGCTAGTTCTCTTCTGATACTCTAAGGTGTGTGTGGATTTTAGAAATAGTTAATGATTGAGGGTGCCTAAACAATATTGTTTGTAACCCAAGTCTTGAGAAACCACTGTTTCCTAAAAAAAAAAAAATCTTTCTAGTTGATGAGGTGTGCTGATAGCGAAATGACAATGAGAAATAACTCATGAGTTCTGGCATAATATGGGAAATTAATGCCAGCTCTTTTTATCAATACTAATCTGTGGTCATTCTGGCCCTTACTTGAACATAAATATTAAAGACACTTTGAATAGTTTTTTAAATCAATTTTTAAACCTGCTAATAATTTCTTAATTATATTCTTAGATTTCAGTTCAGCATCATTTACAATATTTCCGTGTGTGTGTGTTCCGTGCTTTATTGTTACGGGGGTATGTTCGTGTGTGTGTGCGTGCATATTTATATCTATGTATACACAAATAAAACTTATATATATAACATATATATATAAGTTATATAAGGGTATGTGTTTACATAGGTTTATTTTAAGTGATCCTGTCTGGGGATGGTGGTTTGCCTGTTTGTAACTAAGCCAGTCACTGCTGTGAATGGAAACACGAGCATACGCTGTCTGCGACATGAATTTTTTTGGGGGGGCGAATGATTTCCTGTCGTGGCAGCTTTATCACAGGGGGTGGGTGCACGTGTTGGAGGAGCCTGGTGTGCAGGATTCTGTGTCTGCAGAAGTCTGAATCAAGCACCCTCTGCTCCAGTGTGGCGCTCTTCTCTGTGGCCCTGGGGTGACACCAACGCTGTAAGCTCACTCAAATAAACCCTGAACTGAGCGCTACTTTTCAGACACAAATCTGTTCGTTCTGCCTGCTCTCCTTTTGCAGAGAGAATATGCCACTAAGACCTTTAACTCAGGAGTGTGTCTGTGCAGTAAAATAAAACGAGCTGTTCTCTGCTTTTATGTTTTCAGACCAATGGATATATTTACTGAGTAACTGAAAATGGATTTAGCTCATTACCTTTATCAGCTACTAAATGATCTTTTCTGTCTTGAAGCAGACTCTTTGTGGAAACGGAGCTAACCTACATGGGGATTACTAAATCAGTCTAAACAGCATGTTCAGATCCACTGGCATCATCCTCTTACTGTTTTTTGGATGAATGGTATTAACTATCCAACTTCTTTTTACTATGTTTTAGTGCCTGGAATAGTTTCAGTATCCAGTAGTTGCTGCTACCTATTGTCTTCTGAAACCAAGGATCGCTTGCCAAGAGTCTGATTGGAGTTGCATTGTCATGGCAGAACTGCAAGCTTGGATGGCTCTTCAGAGCTCTGTTTCTGCAATTTACTGTAGCTATATTAAGATTAAAATTGCACAGCTCAGGCACTGTCCCGAGTGACAGAGATTTCTAATCCTTTCACTGTCCTGACTATTTTAAGATGGAGAAGCACTTCAGGCAGTGTTCAGACTATAACCTATTCTGCCTCTGTTCCAGAAAGCATCAAACAGTTCAAAATAATTGTCAGTGCTGCCAGATGCAGGCTCTCCTTAGTCGGGGGAGAAGAGTGAACCTCTTGTTTTAAACCTCGGTGATTGTTTTTCTGAGTCAGTGTGAATTGCTCACTGCAATCCCAGTGCTTTGGTAGATGTTTCTCTGTGTGAGGGGTTGATCGTGACTGGATGCCACGTGCTCAACAAAGCCACTCTGTCATTGCCCTCCTCATCTGGGCAGGGCAGAGAAAATATAACCAAGAGCTCGAGTTGAGATAAGGACGAGAGATCACTTACCATTTACCATCACAGGCAAAACAGACTTTTGGGGAAATTAGTTTATTTATTAGCAATCAGATCACAATAGAATAATGAGAAATAAACCAAATCTTAAAAACACCTTCCCCCCACCCCTCTCTTCTCTCTGGGCTTAACTTCACTTGTGGTTTTCTCTCCCTTCTCCCCCCAGAGGCGCAGGGGGACAGGGAATGGAGAATGTGGTTAGATCATCACACAGTCTCATCCCTTGAGGAGGACTCCTCACACTCTTCCAAAGCTCCAGCACGGGATCCCTCCCAGAGGAGACAGTCTGCCATGAATTTCACCAATGTGGATCCCTCCCAAAGGGTGCAGACCTTCGGGAACAGTCCTGCTGACAAAGCTGCTCCAGCATGGGCTCCTCTCTCTGTGGTGCCACAGATCCTGCCAGGAGTCTGCTCCAGCACAGGCTTCCTGCAGGGTCACTGCCTCCTTCAGGCATCCATCTGCTCTGGCATGGGGTTCTTCACAGGCTGCAGGTGGATCTCTGATCCCCCATGGACATCCATGGGCTCTAGGGGCACAGCTGCTTCCCAGTGGTCTTCACCATGGGCTGCAGGGGAATCTCTGCTCCAGTGCCTGGAGCACCTCCTGCCCCTTCTGCACTGACTTGGGTACCTGGAAAGCTGTTCCTCTCACACACTCAGTCATCTCTCCAGCTGCAATTGAAGTTGTGCAGTAACTACTTTCCCCTTCTTATATCTGTTATTCCAGAGGCTCTGCCACTGTAAGGATTTTATTTTATTAGCAAGTCTGGCTCAGGACAGGTGAGGATTGTAGATGTGCTTGCTGAGATCTCAGAAAAATATTTTATCCCCATCTGTGCCCCATAGCAGCATCCTTCAGTGGAGGAGCAGTCCATTTCATGTCAGTAACCCAACTCAACCCATAGGAATATTTTTGGATAAGTGTTATCACTTGGTCCACCCTTGTCTGGATTTACAAAGGGTGCAAGCTGCCAGGATGACTGCATTTTGATAGAAGTTTGAGTTTGAGAGCTCAGGGAGAACCCTAAACAGTGCTTATACAATTAGCAATAGTGCAGAATAGACTCAAAACAGTTAATGTTTTAATAATGAGTGAAAGTTCAAAGTCTCTCTAACTTTTGAACCAGTAATGATGTTGGCTGCTGTGTGGCTTGTGACTTGCCAGCAGAGGAAGGCGCCCTGGGGAGCCAAAGTATTTGCCCCTCTTCGTGGCCCATAAGTTCACAGCCCTGAAGAACATTTTCCCCAGCAGTGCTGGGCCCCTTAACCACAGGTAAATGTGTTATGGTTTGTGTTGGAAATGCTGGGAAGGATGCTCCATAGTGACCACTCTCTCTTAGTAGTTCATTTTAAATATGGGCTGCTCCTCTAGTTTCTGTTTGGATCGGTAACACTCTGGGTTCAGCTTCCAGTGCTGCTGGTTTTTCTTCTCCTGAGCTGCAGAGCAGTGCTGGCTTCCATGCTGCTCATGAGGAGGCTCAGGATTAGAATATGTAGGCTCCACTTGCAGCACTGGTTACTGTCTCTGGTTACTGCTGTTACCATTAATTCCTCTTGATTCCTTCACCTTCCCCTGTGGCTGCCTGCTCCCCTGAGCTGGAGGTGTGGAGAAGAGCTTCCGTGCTCCCAGGCCAATTCTAGAGGGATGGGTTGGCTGGCCATGTGCTTAATATACATAAAAGTAGGGATTTTTTAGAAAATCATGCCAGCAGGAAGAAAGTGCAGACCCAAAGGATTCTGCAAATATTGTGAACTAATAATCTGTTACAAAAAGACTGTAATTTGCCTGAAACTTGTAATTTTAGCTCCCACACCTAGAGAGACCAAGGTGCTAGACACTGTGTGTGTTAGGTATTCAGGCTCACAGCATCCTGGAGTTACTCTCAACTGTCTGACAGAGCTGAAATGAGTGGAAGTGGGATGTCTTCAATCTTGGAGTGGGTTGGAAAACCCCAGGCTGTGTCAGTGTTTGCAGTGGTAACCTGGGGAGAACAACAGGCTGGTGGATTGAGTAAGGGGAGGGGCCTGGTTCCAGGAGGCATCTCAACAGTGAAATAGTATGTTGAGTTGATCATATAAAATTCGAAGGTTTGAAGTGATGAGGATGTTAATGCCTGGCTTGTTCTACAGTAAACTGAGCAAGTGACTGGGTAGCCTTGCGCTGCAACATAAACAAGCAGAATTGATTGATGTGCATATATTAGCTGTTACAAGAAAGAGAAATGCAATTTAATTGTGAGCAGTGACTGAAATATGAATGGGAATTACACAGTTTGCACAGTAGATGTAACTGCTCTGTAATGCTGTGACAGCAGGGCTTTAATTGTTCATTTCTCCTGTTGGGTCACCTGCAAATATTAGTAAGTATCTATGACAAAGGCATTTTTATGCTTGGGGAGTTTTCTTTTATACTAAGTATGGACCATTGTAATAACTTAGCAGGACAACTACTACATTGGTATAGAACTCTACATGAATATTTGGTATTGATTTAGTATTTGATGTTGGTGCCACCAATTCTTAGTGTTCTTGAAGGACCACATGGGAGAGCTGGGATGTGGGGTATGCAAGGAGGCCACCGCGTGCATGGATGCACAGTCGTGCAAGGGTAGATGCTGACCCTGCCAAAACACACAAGAACTTCATAGTCTGTGGATCCCAACATCGGGGCTGGGAGGAAGAGGAGGGGAACATGCGCAGGCAGAAATGCTGCCTCATGGCTGCTGCCTCCTGACAGACAGACAGACAGACAGCCTGCAGGCTCACTGCTTCAGGTGTGAGGGATCATAGCTATCCACAGAGGCCCCAGTCATTTCCCTGCAACAATTACTGCTGTGAGGTGGGTTGTGAGTGGCACAGGAATACCTGCCTTGCTCCCTCCAGGAGTGTCAGTTCAACCAGCAGAGGAGAACTGTCACAGAGCAGGCACAGCCCCAGTGGAGTCAGAAGAAGATGTCAATCTGCTCACAATTTTTGCAGTTTGTGTTTCAAGACAGATGAAACCAATAAATAGAGGAAGAAATGTAACTCTGTCCAAAGTTTTGACAAGCAAAAGCAAATATTTGCACAGATGTGCTGGCTCCTGCCTATTACTTGGGATCACAACGTGTTTGGAGCAATTCGCGCCCCCCCAGCTCTGGAGTGTGGACCTGTTTCTGCAGCCCCAGCACCACTTCTTCACTGCTCAGTCCCAGCAGCACTGCAGGAAACTTTGTGCCCAGGCTGGGGGGCAGCAACCAGGGCAGAGTGGGAGAAGGGAAGCGCTGAGCCAGGATGCCCAGGAGGTGTGATGCTGGTGGGCGCCTGGCTTATTTGCACAGGAGGGGTGTCTTCTGAAGCCCAATTAAGAGTCTCATTTTTTACTTCCTCAAGGATGAGTTTCTGATGTTTGTTTTCTATTTGTGATGTGATTTGTGTGCAGGGACAGCTATAGTGATGGCACATGGCTTGGAGTCACTGATTTTCCAAGGTGTGCAGATTTGCTCTCTGCAATAACTGCTGCCTACATAGTCTCTCTCCCCACTGGCTTCCTCCATGTGATTTATCCACTTGTTAACATCTGGACAGACTCACTGCACTCACTTTGTATTGCTACATGAAGAAAATATCATCAGCAAAACCTTTTTGCTTTTTGGGGAGCTTTTCCCTTCAGGCTGAGGCCACTTCTCCAACCTTAGTCCACCTCTTTGTAAAAGCCAAAACAACCCAAGCCCATGTTTTCCTTTGCAGAGGGGGATGTGCAGGTTTGTGTGACACTGGGGTGGATAGTGAGAGCCTGGGCACTGCACTTGATCTGTCACAGAGCTGCTCAGAGCCTTGGGGAAGAGCTGTTTGTGCATGGGGGGCTTTGCTCTCCCCACCTGTAATGGGATGGGGATGCCACATGTCCCTCCCTGGGCAGGGATGCTCTGGATGTGCAGTCTAAGCCATGATGCAAAAACAGAGTTGGCTTCCTTGCTTCAACCCCTGCCTGCACTTCTGTGTGCCCCGACCTTTCTGCTGCCACCCTGTCACCTGAGCAAGCCCAGCAGAGCTGCACGGTGTCCCCACGGGCAGCCAGCCATCAGCTCCTGCTTCCCCCAGGATAACCATGTACTTTCCAAATATATTGATTTTCTCTGCCTATGATATTTGCTAGATTAAAATCTCTGTTCCTCTACCAAGTTTAATGTCTTCTGCTGTGCATTTTAGAAAAGTACTTGATAAGGTGGAAAAAACCAAGCTTTTAATTATGGGATGCACCTAGCAGTTGGGGCTTTTTGAACTGCATGAACATATGGAGAAGGAAGAGGGTTTTGCATGTTGGAGAGCATCTTTGTAAACTATCCTTGACTTGTAAGACTGTTCAGTTTTACTGGAGTTTGTATGCATTTTACTTTTGTAATTTTTTAAATGATTTGATAGAATTTTAGGGCAAATTCTACATTTTGTATGCAATATTCCGATGTGGTCTATTTTTATTTTTGAGAAAATAATGTTGAAAGCACTATATACTTGTCAATGTAATGTATCCACCATGTCATTTCTATTTAAAACTGGACTCTGACCATGAAGTGCGTGTTATTTTACGTACTGGTTGTTGCACATTAAAGAGGTTACTCAGATTTGCTGCCATCACTGTTCATGAGTTCCAAGAAAACACAAGGGAATAGTTTATTTCTGCTATAATTCTGCCAAAACCCACTGCAGATACTGCTACAGAATGGGGGTTGTTTAGTCTAAATTAATGTAGCCTCATCCAACCCCCCAACCCAGCCAACAGAAAGATTTCCATCACTTTTAGTGATGTTTTAGGGTGGGAGTCTGACACTGGTGTTGGACCAAGGGACCCACAGACCAAGGGATGCAGGAGGTGGGCTGGGGCAGAGGGGCCCCAGACAGTAGGGGGCGGAGGGAGGGGAAGGGGCTGGTGGCAGTGGCAGCCCCTGCTGCACCACCACACCATCACAACTCTGATTTCACACGCTGCTTCATCCAGGCTCATGGCTCAGGATGCTGCAAGCCAGTTGATTTTGCTGGTTCCCACCATCAGTGTCTCTGTTCAGGGTTAGAAAGGAGACCCTTCATAATAACCTTCCTTGTGTTTATCCTGCATTTAATTGAAATGGCCCCAACCTGAGATCTCTTGATCCATGTTTATTTTCTAGGACCAACGCTTCAATAATGCCCTGACTATTTACCAGGGCAAGTTTAAAATAGCCTCACATCCTATTAGTTCTGGGAAGAAATCTGTCAACTCTCATGTCGTGAAATATCTGGGCCCCACTATTCTTAGCAACAGTCTCTTTCCAGGCTATATATGGGAGCTTAAAGCGTCTCTAATGATACAGTTCCCAGTTGTATTTATCTTTGCCGTGTTACAGAAATCTCCGTCCTCAGGGGGATGAGAACTGAGGGTCCATCTCAGATCCCTGATACAGTTTTGTGTGTTGGTGAAGCCCTTGTGCTTGTTCTTTCTCTGAATTTTTTTTCCTCCCAGTTTCTATTTTATCTTTACTGTTGTTAAACTCTGCTGTTTCCCTGGCACATAAATGACATTTATTCTCCCTTTCCTGATCTGCACGTCCCTGCTGGGAGCTCACTGGTGGCTCCCTCTCCGACCACGCTGCAGTTACACATGGGGGAGCAGCTGGGCTGGGGCCAGGTTGGTGCTGTGCCCAGATGTGGGCAGATGTGGGTGAACTGCTCACATATACCTCATGTCTAATGGCCGTGGGATCAGCAGAGGCTGGGGGAAAAGTTGGGGCCACTTGTAAATGCTGAGTATGTGTGTTTTGGCATCTCTGGGCTGCAGCCCAGCACCAAGCGATGCTGATGCTGGGAAAGATGAGCAGCAGCACCCAAATGTAGGTGGGCCTGTCTTTACCCTCCTCCCTTGGGTCATGAGAGCCAAGCAGCAGTGGTGCTTTACCTGCTCCAGGAGCATGGATTGGGCTGCCATCAGGGAGTTTCGTTGGGACCCAAGGCATTCTCCTTTACCTGACACGCCGCTGATGTTACTCGGCACCCACCACCACATGAACACAAATTTCCAACCAGGGATTTTTCTTTTTTTTTTGCTGCAAGTTGAGCTTGAGCAGACAGAGGGGAAGCCCCAGAGCATGCACCATGCCAGGACTCCTCATGCAAGCTGCCAGGAGCAGCACGCTCTCCTCTCCTGGTGTGGGCCAGTCACCCACTGAAGTCATCCTTGGCTAAGGGCTGCAAAAAACACCTTAACTCTTCAGGAGTCAAACGAACATGGGGAGCAGGGCCCCACAGCCCCAGGAGGCTTTGTAGGTCCCATTGTCACAGTGAGGTTTCTCTTTGGGAGATTTCTTGCTTTGCTCCATTTCTTCTCTCCATATCTGCAGGCAGGTCCTAGGGCTGTGGGAGCTCTGCCAGTGGCACCAGGATGGGCTGGACCCCTTCCCTGGGGGCTGCAAGGGCTGTGCTGTGAGTAAGCCTGTCCCTCCCTCTGTCTGTCCATCCAACTGCTTGGTCACAGACCTACAGCCACAATAAGTGGTTCAGGCACTAAAAGGCAGTGGGCAGGGGATGCAAACCTCCCCATGGGCAACACACAGGGAAATGTTGCCTCAGTAGGACCCTGGTGAGTGGGGCTCAGGCAAGTGCAGGACATCTGACAGCCAACAAAGTGACCCCACTGTGTTCTGAACCTGAAACTGTTCCCGGGGCTCTCCTAAACCTGCCTTTGATTGCAGAGCTGAGGGTTGGCATTATGAATGTAGCTTTGCAGCTGAATTTTGCTGCAGGAAGGGGAAAGGGTGATAGTGGTAAAGGAAAAAGCAGCTCTGGAAGGTTTGCAGTGAGTGGATGAGCAGCAGAAATGTGAACTAGATCAGCACAATCTCATACAGAAATGCCTTCACTGACACTGAAGTGCACAAAAAAACATTTTGAGAGAGATTTTCAGCATATGTCTGACCCTATGATAAAGCATTGCAGCTCATGCTACCTTGTACACTCGTGGTAATTAGAGGTGATTTTATCTTGGCTGGGCCACGAGTGTGGGCCCGTGGGCTGGTGTGCAGAAATGATGCTCAGAGCGTGAGTCCATACCTCTTAGCTCCAGACCCTCCTTGGCTGCAGCAGCACCTGGCATGGCAGGGACTGCCAGGGACTGAGCTGCTCCCCAGGACGGGTGGCCTCTGCCAGGCAGCGAGGTTCCCTCCAGTGCCAGAGAAGTGATGGATCAGCAGAAGACAGTAGTAATTGCCAGGAGGCTTTCAGGCAGAAAGCAAGGCTCTCACTTGAGGACAGGCTGATGTAAGTCAGCATGTAAATTGGGGACAACATAAAAATAATTCCAGCCGAGCTCCTAGGAAGAAACCTATGAACAAAAAAATGTTGTTGCTAAGAAATGTGAAAATAGAAAACAATAATGTGGTTCCTTCCAGGGTAATAAAAGTGTATCAGCGTTGTGCCTGCTCTCTCGTACAGATCGCTTGCTCGTGACAGTAAATTCAGTACTGCCAAAATGGGTACATCTGTGGCCATTGATGCTTCACATCATGGAAATATCAAATGTTTCTGATGGCTGTTCATTACCCTGCGCTTGAGAGGGGAGCAATCCTTTGCCGGCTCCATTATTTCCATGACAGCAAGGAAATGACTATGGGAGGTTTAAAAATGAAAGAATACAGCAAGGTTAGATGGATGGAACCTCAACAACCTGTTGCTGTTCACTGTGGGTGATGCTAACCCCGGGTCTGGGAGGCACCTCACTGTCTCCAGAGTGATGGAAAACCAGGACTACTTTTTGCTTCCAGCTAATTGACGATTCATAAACTGTGAAGTTTGACCTTGAAAATCTGCAGAGAAGTTATTTTGAAGGGTGACAATGTTGCAGTGCAGCTGCTCAGCCAGGAGGAGCTTTAAGCGTTTGCTGGATTCCAGATCTGCCTCAGCTGATGCAAGGATCCGAAGAGTTGCATCTTCCATATTCTGTGGAGATCCACGCCAAGGAGCTGAGGGATGGATGTGGCTGGTGTACAGCACACCAATGCTCCCTTGTCATCTTAGTAGTTTTAAAATGAAAGCCAGCTGATCTTACACACGTGTTTGCTGCCGTGAGGGGATTGACATAGGGTCAATCGCAACAAAAAAAGGGTGATAAAATTCTGGGTCACAAAATAAACCTGTCCTGCAAGCACACCAGGACAAGCAGGAAAAGGCAAGAGTCTGCCCAGCTGACAAGGGCCAGCTTTATATTTTTATCTCAAAACACAAAATCTTAGCCTGGTTCAATCCTTTCTCTAGAAGAGAATCATTTGGTTTGAGGATATTGTCAGCAGATTGAAGGGTTGAAATCTGGCCAAGGACGGGGTGAGGGGGTGGGGTGTATGGGTGTAGTTGGGTTTTTTCCCTCTGAACTCTGTCATCTTCTTGACTAATTTGAATCTTAGGTTTTTTAAACAGAAAGCGCAGTGACAACTCCGTCAGTGGCTTCTTACAAATGAATAAAATAACACCATGTCAAAATGCATTTCAACTGTTAGCAAAACAGCATTTTTAATGAATCTCCAAAGCTTTTGGTAATTGAGCTGTGTGTTTGGGAGTGTGCAGTCTCCCAGCTGTACACTCGAGGGGGAAACACACACAAGACACCATGGGAAGTGGAGCTTTTGCAGTTGAGTGTTGACTCTGGCACATTGAGGAGGTGCTTGCTCTGCACTGCTCTCTGTGGGGTGGCTGCACTGAGCTGATTTAAGCTGACTCAGGGACTGTCGAGCTTGGGGGCTGTCCCCCTGACTGGTCACAGCAGCACAGCCACATGGGCTCTCACAGCCGAGTGAAATGCTTGCACGGGCAGAGGAAAATTCAGGAGTTAGAGCCAGGGCTTGTGATCACATTGTGATGGGGGGACTGGCAGACTGGTGGGAATGTGGGTAGTGGCTGGGGTGCTGAGCATTAGTAGGGGTGCTGGGCATGGCATTAGGGGACTCACTTGAGGCTTTTTTTACTGCCACAACCTGACTGCTTTCTGAGGAGTGTGTCTGCACGATGCTCTGCCTGGACACTGGTCCTGGGAGCATAGAAGGGTCATTTATGAGAAAGTCAAAAACCTTACTAAAATCAGGCTGTATGATACTTCTTATTTCCATGCCATGTGCAGGACACCTCTGTTCAGAGGAGGAAATAAATGTGGTCTGACACAACTTGCTCTGGATAATGCCCTGGTGCCCAAATGCATCTGCTCAGCTGCTCTGTGACGGGTACAGCTCCTTCATTCAAGTCCTTGCCTCCTGCATTTTCACTTAGCACTGGTGTTAACTGCGCTGGGCAGCAATTCCCTGCCCCTCCTTGCCTCCATAACTTGCCCAAGCAAGTACCCCACCAGCCATGGATGTTTCCATCCCTTGATAGAGAAGAAAAAACCAGCAAATGGGCTTCATATGGAGGGACAGGACTAGGACAAGTTTGTCACTGCACCATCTGGCACAGCACGTCCCTAAAGCACCTATTGTAGGCAGCTGGGAGGAACAGGTAGACTAGACATGACTTACGAGGAAACTTCTGCTTTTTCCTTTTCCCACATTTCTTACACTCAACCTCTGAGCGCTGCCAAGGGCAGGCTGGAGGGGGGCTGTGAGACTGTGGC